TTGCATGCGTTTGAATCTAAAACCAATAGTTTTCATACAATTTTTGCTAAAAATGTGGAAATTAGAGATGAAGGACTTCGAAAAATTTTCAAACTCCAGTGATGAGTCAACCAAAACAAGACGAAATTTTTGCCATTATTTAAATGTTACATTAAATAACGAATTTACCTCATTTTGGAAAGACCAGGTTCTTCAAAATGGTGATAGTGGTAAATTGAAAGAATATAAGAAACTTAAAGTAAATGTGGGTATTGAAAAATACCTTTTAGAAATTAAAAATTTTAAGTACCGTCAAGCAGTTACAAGATTACGAGTTTCAGCGCACAGATTACCAGTAGAAATTGGCCGATATAAAAAAAATTGCCTACTGTGACAGAAAATGTAAACTTTGTGATCAGGGTGAAGTTGGAAATGAACAACATTACCTAATGTCATGTGGTAACACAGTGTTTACATTTTTGCGACAGAATTTTATTAATTCTGTTTATAAAATTAACCAATCATTTAAATATTTTGATACACAAAGTTTGTTCCATTATATACTAAGTATGAAAGATAGAAATATTCTGAAAGTATCTTCAAAATATTGCTACGATATACTAAGAACTTTTGACATATTGAATGAGTTAGCCTGAATAAATTATTTGTAAGTTTATATACTGTAATGTCTTTTTATATTTTATTTTTTGTAACTAATGTATATGTAGGTATTCAATGTACCAATATTGGTATTTGTTTGAATAAAGTTTCTATAAATATTAAAGGGCACCACTTTGAGTGATGTTACTCAGACTCGCAGCCAATCATCAATTCCCGTCCACTGGTGGACGGGGAATTCGATTACACTGCCAAACCCAGCAGGCGGTATTTCCCAGGCTTGCCCAATTTTAGGAACCGCCTGCCATGCAGGCTAGGGTGGGTGAAGAAAAAGAAAATTTTGAATGTTGGGTCACTAAAAAATTTGGCCAAGAAAATGTTTCTCCTCAGTGCCCCCTGGCCATAAATAATGACCGGTCCCTTATTTCAGACATTGCACTATCCGCTCTCTTCTCTGCCTGGACTTCATAATGTTAAGCAGTTATGGAGATTTTTAGGGGGGCGGCGACAGTGCCCCACTTTGGCTGCACCATGCTGCATCAAACTTAAGCCCTGTTTAAACGGATCCAACATTGTTGGGCCAACATTATCCAACATTGTTGAAATAATGGCTCAAACGGCTTCTTTTTCAAATATTTTTGTCAAGAATAGGTTTAGAGTTTGAGTAAAGCTTATCTAACCAAAAATATTTGAAAGAGAAGCAGTCATATCTAGTATAGTAACATTGTTGGATGATGTTGGTCCAACAATGTTGGATCCGTTTAATTAAACAGGCCTTTAATCAGGTAGAAAGTAAAGTTGAAAGTGTAAAGATTTTTAGCCCCTAAGATCAGCATTAGGGCCATTTATACGAGACAAAATAAGACGCGACTTACATAAGACGCGACTTAAATAAGCTGAGTTATCGCATAAATGGTTCTCTACGGCTTTATTCTTATTTACTTGCGATAGCTATAATGTTGTTTCGGTTGTTTTTGTTTTAATATGCAAGGCTAATAATTTTACTTGGTTTCAAGTTTCGGACATGTGTAGTTAGAATTTTTGTCTAAAATATCTTATTTAAGACGCGACTTAATTAATAAATAAGAACAGCTAAAAGTCCTGTTCTTATGTAAGACGCGTCTTATCCAAGACGCGTCTTACATAAGAATTTTGTGCCTTTTATACGACAAACTCGCGTCTTATTTAAGTCGCGTCTTATGTAAGTCGCGTCTTATTTTGTCTCGTATAAATGGCCCTATTATCTTTATACCCGAAAATTAAGCCCATGTTAATGAGTCTAATGAGACCTTACGATTTTAGGACGGCAACGCGACGGCAACGGCTACCAATACAATAGATCATTGAAAAGAATCGAGTAATTACAATATATGAATAATGTATTGTCCTCGCTCTGTTTACAACGCCAAATCACAGATTTTCACGTCTTGATACAACGGCTGCATTCCAAGCCGCAACAAGTGCAACTTCAAACTGGGTTTAGCAGCTGGGTCTTCCCAACCGTAAAACCCATGTCTTCAACTTCTAAATCTGTATTAAATTCATACGATTGATAATATACCACGAACTATCTTTACTACCATTTATTTGAAGGAGTTTGTTTTGGCCGTCGCCGTCCTAAAATGGTAAGGTCTCTAATGACAGTAGGAAAGCGTCATGAACGCGATTTTATTTCTTAAACAGTTGAAGAGGGCAAAAAAGTACATTTTAAAGTACATGGAATCTCAATCTAAACCTTTTATACTTCTCAAGAAATGAGGTGTGACTGTAAAACGTGTTTTGCATAAGATGACATCGAATATTAAAGCGAAGGGCAGGTTTAGCAATAAACGGTAACAGGGTGTCTCGAAATTAATTGCAGTCACTCTATATACCAGACTTATTTAAGAGATGAATTTTGAAAATAAGATTATTAAACGTGGTGCAGTATAAGAACCGATGTTATGGCCGTTCATAGTAAGGGGGGGGGGGTCAGCAAACCTATTAATTCTTAACACAACTGACGCATGATTTCAGTGGTTGATTGGGTTGACCTGACATTAATTTATTTTAAAACTAGCCATAACGTTGGAACGCTGCCTCCAGGTAAACTGCCCATCTTTTTCTTGAAGCCAATTCTCACCCCTAAGACACGCGTGCCTGAGGATCAATACCCGCGTGTTTATGCCTCACGATTCTCTCGCGAGACCAGTTCAGGGAGTTACAATCGTCCACAAAATATATTGAAACTTTTTAAATCAATCCCCTCCCCCCTTATTTCAATGTTGAAAGCCTACTGTACTTATCCAAAACGAACATAAGGTGACACTAGAACCGCAACTGTGTCACTGGCAGTTGAAATTTAACATATGATGTTGGAATTAAACTATATTGTAGTGCCTAAAAACATTGAAATTGGGGGAGGGGATTTGTCTCAAATATTTTGTGGACGATTGTAGAATAGATAAAAAAAACTAAAAGTAAAGTGTACTAGAAAGCTTTATCTGAATAAGTACATTGCATAGAAAGTTTTCAGCTCTGCTAAAAGCTTTTTCTGTAAATTTTAAGCCGGTTTTCATAATTTTCATGACTAATGACTTTCGTCCCATTCATTCAATGATCTCATAAGTAACTATTATCTCATAACTTTCACTCACGTATGAAAAACCTTAACTGGAATGCAACCATTATGATCTCGAAAAAGGCAGGGGCGTCTGTAGTTTAAATGATGTCCAGGAGACACTTTATTTTCACGTGCTGTTAAAGTACAGTATCTTTGTATTAAGATTAATAATGTTGAAGACACACTGGTCAATAATTCGCTTCAATTGCCGGGCTTCATTGATCGAATGAAAACTTAACTAAACTGTGCAGCAAAATGCTCACAAAAAGTGATTTCAACCATCTTTTATTGGAAACACTTCAAAAATTTCACATTGGCTAACACTAAAACTGCTTACAAGGAGCATTTTGCGACTACCTAGTACAAGTCCAGATTTTGCAGAGTGTTCTTAAAGGCTTTCTTGAATGCTCTCGATTTCCTGACTAAGTTTCTCACGTTTAGTAGCATTTGCCTCATCACTTTCCACATACGATTGCTTGTTCATCTTTCCATCCACAACTTTTTGAGCCAAGGTAATGGCATCCTCCATCAGACGCTTCAGATCACTCTCCTTTCGTTGAAGATCAACCATCTGAAAAAGTAGATTATAGGAATGTTTCAAATTGCCATGGAAAATACGATCGGCGGATGTTAGAGTAAATAACAGGATTTTGGGCATCTCACTCGAAATAACTAATTGTTGAAGGGATTTGTACCTGGAAATTTTGAGTGGAATTTTTATACAATTATACTTGGAGTAACATTTATAATTGTCTTCCACATGCATGTCTTTAGCAAACTATCCTACTGTTCCTCTGTCCGGAGTGGTACGTACCTCCGCTGGCCATATATCCAAGTTGCAACGTACACAAAACTTTGCAGCCCGCATTATTAACGGTGCGAAGAAGTTGGATCACATTCCTGTGAAGAAGCTGTATGACAAGTCGCGCATCAAATTATTTGACGTCAAGGTCAATTACAAGAGAGGAGGCCTCTGGCCGTGTTACGTGTTATTCGAAACGATTAATAAATATCCCTTTTTTGGGACTGCTACTGGACAAAAGTCGTTGGTAATTATCGTATGGAATTCTCTTGACAATGAGTTTAAATTCTGTACTAGTATCATAGGTTTTAAGGAAAAGCTGTTACAGGCCTTTTAGAGTTACAGGAACCTTAGAAGTCGTCATGTCACGGTGAAACAATGAATATTTGACTCTCATCACATGTATCCCACATTGCATTGCGTATACATAATATTTAGATGGATTCGAATTGCGTGACGTAAGCATGTAAGAAAATTGCGTGGCGTTAACAATGACATTAAATTGGACTTATTTATTTTTTTTATTCTTGCTACTTATAGATCTCTAATTAGCTGTAGTTTAAATTGTATGTACTTGATCACTAAAAAGCCCCCTTTGTGGAGTGTTCAATAAATCTTCAAATTCGAGTCAAAAATGTAATTCAATGCCAAAACATGTACAGTACAAGACTCGGTGCCAACTTGTTAAAACGACTGGAAAATCATCATTATTATTCTATATACAAGCATCGTTACCAGCACAGCTCCATTCATAATTTAATTCCTAAGGCTGGTTTACACTATCAAGGTTTTTGTGATCACAGTAGGAATTTTGCATAGGTAAATTCTATGCTTTAAAGAATTTGTAAGAAAGCTTTGGTTGTGTTAAAATGTGAGCCAATTCCCTCAAAGATATCTTGCAAATTCTTCACAATTTACCGATGGAAAATTCCAACTACGATCACAGAAACATTGATAGTGTAAAGCGGCCTTTATGCTATGATCTTTAAAGAAAGACGATTTACTGAGGAAAGTTCTTACCTTGTCTGCGCTCTCTGGTTGATCATTGGCCAGCGCAGTTTGTCGTTCTGCAATCTTGCTACTAACACCACGGTAATCGCTATCAATCTTCTTGCGAGCATTCATAAATGCAGCAGATTCTTTGCTCGACTTGTACTTATTCACAACATCGTTATATGAATCGTATAAACGTCTGCGATGTTCCAAAAGCCCAAGCAATTCTTCCACTAGGCCCGCGGCACGAAGACGAGCTTCTTGAACAGCGTCCTAAAATAATACCATGCATAGTCTATCATTACAGTTCCAGCAATAGAATGATTCCAACCGATCCACTTCATTTGTCTAATGAATTTTAAAATCTTCAAAGAGTTCATCGAATGAACTGCTTGATGAACCGTTTATAGAGTTTCTCACTCATTGGTGAGCGGATTTCCCAACAAGCTATTGTCCAATTGATAGGGGATTCGAGGTACCTACGATGTTAAACGTCCTTATCCGAGCAGATGCGAAAGTCTATAAACCATTTAACAATTATTCGCCGAAGGGGAGGTGATTATCGGGGAATATTCGCCGAGACAAAGTCGAGGTGAATATTCCCCGATAATCACCGATCCTGAGGTATAGTATTTTTGTGTTTTTTGGATCTGAATTTATTTTAATTTCGCTTATTTCTTTATCAGTATAACATCCACAAAACGGCTAGCCGCCATTTTGAAAATTTCGGTTTTGTTATATTCACCTTTGTAGGTCAAAATAACCTATACTTAACACGTAACATTTGACCAATCAACTTGTAGAATTTGTTATGTTCACTTGTGCAAAAATACTAATTACTGATGTTAATGTAAAGGTAGCACTTTCTCCTCAATTATTCTAAGACCTTGAGTAGAGTTCCTACCAAGGATTGAATCCGGCTCTCCTTACTTGAAAGGCAAGCGTGGTGGCCACGACACAACAAGAGCCGGTTAACAACCGACCAATTTTGAATGGACATTTTCAGAAGTGTCATATAATTTGCATACTCATGAGATGTTCTGGAACACAAAATCCAGTCGTTTCAAAAAAAAATTGCTCGTTCCAAACTCTAGTCTTAATTTTCAGCGCTGGATATAACGACCGGCCAATGACCGGCGATTTTACGACATTGACCGGCCCGGCCTTTTTGGTTTTCAGTGACCATTTGAACCGGGTAAGTATTTTTGACAGTGAGCATACAGTACTGCGTTGATATTTAATGTTAACACGCATAATTGAAGTGCAAGCGGGGTAATCTAAATTCCTTGCCAGCCAATCAGATATCGTGATATACATGTGCTCGGAATTTCATTTTCACAAAACACTGCACAAATTTAGTAAATATATCCAAGATGGAACCAGAATGCTCAGCTCCAAAAGTAATTAAATTAGAAAATGTTATTGTTTTTCCTAATGAACAGTTGCGACATGTTTCACCGAGAGGAATTTGTACTTGACCGGCGTAATTTAATTTCCCTGGTTATCATGACCGTCAAGTTTCTGTAATTACAGCTGAGCTTGAAATAACGCTCGAACATCGCGCAATTTCCGACCAAATTAAAGTTTGTCCAATTAATTGCTAAATTGGTTGGGCCTTTTGTACGGACAAAAAATTGCGATCAGTTGTCTCTGATCATCCCGCAAAGAATACACAATTGTTAACTTTAAAAAGCATTTTAATTGTACTGTACTGTACATACTAGTGGCGTTTGGCAATTAAAGTATTACATATTTATTCAGACTTGATTTACCACCAACGTACGTTTCGAGTCTCTTTTTCCGGACAATCTGCACATTGAATAATTATTTCAAGCCCTGAATTGTTTGCAGCGTTGGTCCTCAATCACTGGTGAGACTTACCTTTGTTATCGAAAAGTCCATTCGTACATAAACGATCACTGCCAAAAACATGAGATACAGAGCACCAACCAGCAACAAAGGTTCTTGGAGGAGCAAAATTTTGTTGAATCTGTACTCGAGCTAAAATAAAATGTCGTCATCAGTAGAGATTTTCGAGGATACAGTATACCTGTGTTATGATTAAAGTACACAAGGCCATGTCGAAATCATTTTCAATTCTTTTCAGTGTCCGTTTGAAGCTTTTAAATGGTAAAATTATTTGACTAAATTATTTGACTATTAAATTACTGAACAGTGGAGTAAGCCTTGTGATTTTAACCTGTTTAAACAAACCTCAAATTCTTGAATGTGTTGCTCAACCAGATTATTCTTATGATACACGACCACAGGTCTTCCAAAGGTGTCAAGATAGGTGAAATGAAGCCGATTTTGCCCAGAGGTGGCTTCGAAAGGAAGCTCCATATTCAAATCCCTACACATTAAAACCAGAGTCCATTAGATATGTTAACAACAATGCGGTAAAAAGTAAAGTAAAAAATGTAATGATAAACAACGTGCAGACAAAAATGCTAAATATTCCTGAGAATTTTTAAACTCGCGTGACATGTTGAAAACACGTCCATATAATCCCAGTATATCTTGAACTTCATATTAATGCTATTCTTCTATTTCATCTAACCCAACATAAATACATGCTGTATCAATTGTTCAGTCATTAAAGTTTATCTTTTGGAATAGCGAGGGTCACATAGATGATTAAAACCACTTACAGAGTTTGTTTGTACACTATACAGTTACTGTAATGTCTGCTATCGAGGAAAATAGTTAGTTTCGTTTTCCCGAGAATCTCAATGTTTCCCCAAACGAAGTCGAGGGAACAGATATTAAGTGTTTTGTTATATAGCGACGAAAGAAAAATCAACAACATGCATACAATTGTACATGTACAGTATGACATGACAATGTAGTGTAAACGAGTTTAAAATTAAAAGAACCTAATTAAACAGATTCAGCAGTATATCCTATTGCCCGTTGCCTTCTCTTTTAATTCCTTATTTTAACACAAACTTGGAAAATCGTAGTCTACAACCTTGCGAGTTGTGCGGCTATTTTGTTTATTATGTACGCAGCCAGTTGGGGCGGGATACATTGCATTTATCTAAAGCCACGTGACCACAAATCGACCAATCATGTTTGGTGTTCACTCTAGCCATATAACAATCTCTCTTAAAGGTAGGTTACAGTCCCTTCTGCGCATGTCTGTGATTGTTTTTGCCTGGGGACTCCACCGGAAGTTGGGCATCTCGGTTTATACTCGGTCCAGTCTCATTTCTGGCAATAACACGCGCGTTGTTTTTTTCGCAAG